AATACCCGCGACTATGACCGATTTCTTCGTACTTCCAGTTGACAACAGGAAGCTACCCGGTGTTCTTCAACATTTAAATACGCAGCACCCAGCATCCCACCCCGACCATCCCACGAGACAGGATAACCTTGATCGCCGTCGACACGCTACGACAACACCGGTCGCCTAGCCGTGAGAGCCCCGGCCGGCCAAAAGAAAAACACGATGATGGTGGCAGACGCCATCCGCAACCCTACACCAACAACAAAACAACAACAGCAGTAGCCAGGCGATGACGAACCACGACGTCTCGACCACGATCGATCCATCCCATCGCCCGCCTCTGTGTTACTAAAATGGTATGTAGACAGAAAATAAAAGCCAAGCCATCAAGATGAGCGTCGTTCGCGAAACACTTATCTACTACTCTCCGGCCTTCAGCTGGGCCAACTCTTCGAGCAACGCCCAGTGTGCGTCAGCCTTCGCCCGCCGCCGGCCCCTCTCTTCCTCCTCCGCTACGTGCTGCTGATGACATCTGCGGCAACCAACAAAGAGGGGTTGAGATCAGTACAGGGGTACCTCGGATGCATGGCCGAAGCAGTGAGTCTTTTTCTCAAACAGGCCGGGCGCATCGACATCAATTTCTGGGGTATGTCCTCACTTTGTGGATGCATGGCCGCTGTGGGTCTTTCGACACAAAGACCGTATCTAGTGCCGCTACCTACCACAATTACGAGAGGCCGGATCACAGTTATCATACCCCCGGGGAGCAGCCACCCGCGACAACCAGTGCTCTAGGCAAGGTGAACGAACGAGAGGATTCCGCAAGGCCCAGGCCGTGCTTACACAACAATGTGCTCGGTGTTCGTAGCGTCTGCGAGAGGAAGAAAATGACAGCCCCCCCCCGTCTCGAAAGGGACGCGTGGTCAATGGCCCCCCGTCTCGAAAGGGACGCGTGGTCAATGGTCAAATGACTACGGCAAGCAACAAATGAGTACGCCCCCCCCCCCCCCCAAAAACCTTTTTTTTTTTTAAAGAATGTTTTTT